TTAGATTTAGGTGCTTAGTTAAAATGTTCAAGCACCATTGATATCTATGGGGTTTAGGGGTGCTTAACTTTTTCTGAACTGAGCCTTTAATTTTTACATTATATAATTTAAAAGATACACAAATTGGTGAAGACATGGGGTTGTGGTGATGACTTGGGGTTGTGGCACTATCCAATACAGTAGTACCTCGGGTTACATACGCTTCAGGTTACATACGCTTCAGGTTACAGACTCCGCTAACCCAGAAATATTACATTGGGTTAAGAACTTTGCTTCAGGATGAGAACAGAAATCGTGCTCCGGCGGCACAGCGGAGGCAGGAGGCCCCATTAGCTAAAGTGGTGCTTCAGGTTAAGAACAGCTTCAGGTTAAGAACGGACCTCCGGAACGAATTAAGTACTTAACCTGAGGTACCACTGTAGAGGCCTGTAACATGTGAAACCATAGGACACCTGGCACTCATAATGACTATATGGAGGTGGTAGCTGCAGGGTATTATCAATTGTTAATATATATATGTGTGTGTTTCAAACCAACCTCAAATGCAAAACCAAGGAGCTCAGGACAGCCCCCCTATTTTCTCCTCACAACAACCCTGTAAGGTAGACTAGGAGGGGAGATGGTGACTGGCCCAAAGCTCCCAGTGAAGCATAAATCATGATACCCACAGAGTCACTGGACTGAACTGTTTCCTTTTATGGTATAAATATAGTCCTATTACAGCAGGTTTCCTCTTTCCTCTGAACTGTGTTTTTCTTTTTTCTAAATCACTAATCCCTCTCATGCTGCTAAAATTAAATATTACAAAGCACACATATGCCACGGCAATGTTGCAATCTCTGTAGATTTACTTATTTGTCTTTCGGCGGTGCAAAGACAATAGAGAATGGAAATAGCTTGGGTTGAAATTTCCCTTTTCAGTTGTGCAATTGTTTCTTTTGCTGGTTCAGGCCTGAACCAAACAGAAGCAATACTTCTACAAGCTGGTGGGTTTTAGTAATAATAATAATAATAATAATAATAATAATAATAATTGTTAATTGATACCCCGCCCATTTGGCTGGGTTTCTCTAACCACAAGTGTTTTAGTCTTCTTGTTTTTTACAAGCAGAAGGGTATCCAGCTTTTGTAGGAATAAAGGTATGCAGGAATGCATGTGATATGTGTACCACTAGAAGTTGAGCCAGAGATGAGAAGCCCATGGTTTCCTCCAAAGAATCCTGGAAACTGTAGCTCACTCCTCATATAGCTATGGTTCCAAGCACCCCTAACAAACTATAGTTTGTTATTCCCCCGCAGCTAAGATCCACTTGCATTGCCCATTCCTTTGTGACTGGGAAATATGCTTCTGCTCCAAACCAAACTGCGTATGACATATCATTCGACTTCTCTGCAGCTGTTAGTCAATTGGGAGGCAGAAATTAGCACAGATTTCCCACACATTCATTGGTTTCCCGTGAGTGACTTCAGCTCAAGGAGTTGCTTTCAACAGAAAAATGAAACATGGGTGTGGGAGAACTACTCATGATTAACATAATGCACAGTTTGAGGTTGCATGCACACCATTTAAAACATTTAAGGGTGCTGGGAATTGTAGTTCTGTGAGGGGTAAACCAGAGTTCCCAGGATTCTGTGGGTGCAGGTGGAGGGGTGTGTGGATGTGCTTGAAATGTGCTTTTAAATGTATGCTGTGTATGCAACCTGAGCCTATGCCACCTGGTAATGGGGCCAAATCATTCCTCTCCCAGCCTTGGCCGCAGGGCCAGATCTGCACGATTAATATATGCAAATAAATTCACCCGCATGAGAGGTGATGACTTTGTCTGAAGGGAAAGGCAATATTGTGCTCACCTCTTCTCCTAACGATGTATTTACCATTTCTTGGAAAAAATGATTGTATGCACACAGTGGTTATATGTACAGCAGTCCCCAATGGAAATAACAGTGGGGAGGAGGGGAAATAAGAGAAACGGGTTGTCAAGGGGGAAATGGCTAAATCTCTTCAGCTGCTCCTTTCTGTTTCTTGAAGGACAATGGAAAGCACATAATTAGGCTACTGTACAGTTCCCACCCTTTGTAGTTGAGCCAAAGGAGGGGTGGGGAATCTGTGCCAAAATTGAGGAGGGCCAATTCCCATTCCAACCTCTGAGAAAATACTCGGTCCATCATATAGATGCGATGCCTCCAAATTATTTCTTTAGACAATCAGTTAAAATTAATTCTTGAAAACAGAAAACATAGTTGAAATGTGTTTAGAAACTGAGGGTCTTTGCCAAGTGCCTGAAGTTAAATAGGCATAATTGTCATACTGCTAAATATTTTTTCACAGGATGGCTTTTACAGAGGTAATGTGCAAGTAGTCCCTTTGAATGCTCTACAATGCTGTATTGTATAAATATTATTGTTAAAATTACATAATATAATAACATTATTATTATTATTATTATTATTATTATTAAAAAGGAAATTTATAAACCACTTGCACTCTCTTTCTCGATCTAGAAAACATCTCAAAATACACAAAACAATTAAATAATATGCATAAAATCATGGTTTTAACAAAAATATGAAATCAATAACATTTTAAAAACCCACAAATGTTACTAGAATCAGGCATCTGCATAGACTTGGTGAAACAGAAGTGTTTTCAGAAGGCATCTCAAAACAGTTAGTGAAGGCATTCCTAAGCATAGGTGCTGCCACACTAAGGGAAGGATTCCTCGCAAACGCAGAACAACCTTGGTGTGGCATTTGTAGAAGTGTACACATTTGGCATAAGGAAATCATAGAATTGGAAGGGACCCTGAGGATCATCTAGTCCAACCCCCTCCAACGCAGGAATATGCAGCTGCCCCATTCAGGGATCAAACCTGTGACCTTGGCATCATCAGTGCCACACACTAACCAACTGAGCCATCCAGGCTGCATCTGTTAAGCAAACTGGCTCCAAGCTGTTAAGGGCTTTATATACCAACAGTAACACTTTGACCTTGGGCCCGTATTTATTCATTTTTATTTCACTGCATTTGTGTCCCATCTTTTTATCCAAGGTGCTCAAAGGTGATGTACGTGGTTCCCCAGCTCCTCATTTAATCCCATAACAACCCTGTGATGTATGTTAGGCTGAGAAGCAAGGTCACCCAGTGGGCTTTGTGGCTCAGTGGGGATTTGAACCCTGGCCTCCCAGGTCTTAGCCTGGCACTGTAACCACTGCACCACCCTGGCTGGATCGGCAGCTAGTGCAGATCTCTTGAGCAGAGGTGTAATATGCTGACAGACTCTTGATCTCCTGTCAGTGTAATAAATGGAAATCTGCCATTATTCCCTTATGGGGTACATGGAAATCTGTTCTTATTCCCTTATGGGGGACACAAGAGCCCTTGTAGAGTCCTTTGCAGGTTCTCCATCGGTCGGAGAAAAATAACAGAGGCCAACCAGAGATTATTGAGAAGCAAAGCAGCTAGTAAGCCTGATCTTTATTGAACTGTTGCAACAGGGTGCCCCCTTCACACGCAGGAGAAGGAGGAGGACCTCGAACAATGGCGCACAAGGCCTTACATAGACATTTTAAATTCCCTGCCCTGGAGTTCAAGACCACCCCTCCATACATCATACATACATCACAGAAGGGGTGTAACCCAAGACCACCCCCCACAAACGTCATACCTACATCACAGAAAAGGTGTTGTTTTTCCTGTCTGTCAGGGTATCTGATAATGCCTTATCTGATTGCCTTTCCTGGTAGTCTGTCACCCTTTGAGATGGTGATTTCCCAATTCCTGAGACAATGGGAAGGTTCCCTGACCCCCTCCCTCCTTGCAGAGAAAACATTTGGTCAGTTTGGGAATCATAAATGGTTTCAGGTCGGTCTTCCTGTGCTGATCTATGTACGTGGTTGGTTGGTACATTTATGAACATTTCTTATATATCTAAGACTCTAAAATTCTTATCACATCAGCAATCGTGCCTCAGCATCCTGCAGTTTCAGGATTGCTCTGTGCTGCTCCGGAGGGCAGGGTCCAAACTAGTGGGTTGAAGTTACAAGAAAGGGGATTCCTGCACATCAGGAAGAGCTGTTTAACAGTGGAACAGACTCCCTCAGAAGGTGGTGGACACTCCTTCACCAGGGGTTTTAAAACAGAGGCTGGATTGCCAACTGTCAGGGATTCTTCAGCTGCAATTTATGCATTGCAAGGGGCTGGGAAGGCTCTGTGGCTGTCCTGCATTGAGCAGGTGGTTGAAGCAGAAATCCTGCAGGACTCTCGTCCAACTCCGTGACTCTTTGAAATTTGGTTTTTTTTAATGGCCCCTTAGATCACAGTTATCTTTGATGGCTCCACCCCTCTGTCTCCACAAGTCTGAGAATCAATCAATCTTAGCCTGGGAGCAGCGATGATGAGAACTATGCCAAAATATTCATTACTGTGGGAGGCATTGCATAGAAGTTATAATTCACTATTGTTGCTAACGATGCCTCAGGCTTTCCAGTCCAGCGTTTGCTTAGGTTAAAATGTTTTTGCCTACGGGCATCGGGTTAATGGGGCACTAGGGATTCCTCACTTTTCCTCTCCTCCCCCTCACTACACAGAGGTCTTTTTTGTTTTATTTTGTTTTTTCTTCTTGATTAATGGAAAAAAATTATGGATATGTAAGAGGGAAGGAAGGTCTTCTATCTCTCTCCCACTCTCCTAAATCAATTAGAAAAACAAACACTTTCCATTATAACAAGGAAGCACACTCTCCATGTAAATCATGCTTCACCCAACTTTAAAGGGACAGAGCACACACACACACACACACACACACATATTTTGGAGTGTCACTACACTCTCCCCATCTCTGCCTCTGAACTTGCCTACCCTGTGGCCAACAGCAGTGCTCATCCACATTCTCACAGTTCATTAGATTTCCTTCTGCTGTGGGTATGTTGGCCATTGAACACATCTGCCGGTGGAGGCTGGTCCATATGGACCAATGGTTTGACTCAGTAAAAGGCAGCTTCCTATGGTCACAGAGTATTGCCTTCTTCACTCTGAAGAGCCTAACGTCACATGTCAGCGATCCTCATGGGAATCTCCTTAGGTGGATCTCAGTGAGGAAGCAGCAGTGTGTATGTGTATGTCCCCTCCACTCCACTTCACTCAGCAGATTTATTTATTATGTTGCCACTCCACAATATTATGATGATTTATTATGAAATATTGTTGTGTTTAATTTATACAGGAAGAAGGAGGAGTGTGTACCCAAAACACCTGGAGCAAAATACAGTAATTACGACCTACCATTTTATCCAGTCTTATTAGAGCCAAAGCATATATCTTGTTAATTCTAGTTCCATGGGACTTTTACCTTGCTAAGAGGGGCAGACACCTTGATGTCTCAATTTTCACTGGCGCCCTGTGCCAATCCAAAATCTGGCACGCCTTCCCTTGGACATAATGGTGGCACCTGCTGCAGCACCCCAGAAGCTCCTTGCCCAGTGTGACCACACCAGTTGCACTCCCCTAGAGCCGCTTCTGTTGCTAACAAATAAGATTGCAGCCTCAGACCAAGGATCTTATCAACTCCAGTACTCTCTTTTTCAATCAGTGGTGCCTTTTCAGGGTCTTCTACAGAGGCCTTTCCAGCTTAACTATTTTAACTGGAGAGCCAAGGGATTGAACCTGAGACCTGATACACACCAGGCACATGCCCTTTGAGCCCAAGACAATGCTCTGGTGATGGCTCCTGAACATAGGGAGGGAGCTCAGATATATTCTTCTCCATTCTAGCACAGCTCCCTCCATAATAATTGTTTTGGCTCCTGATAATGATGCTTTGAGGCTCAGTCACATGAGGTAAAGGTAAAGGACCCCTGATAGTTAAGTCCAGTTGCGAACGACTCTGGGGTTGCGGCGCTCATCTCGCTTTATTGGCCAAGGGAGCCGGTGTACATCTTCCGGGTCATGTGGCCAGCATGACTAAGCCGCTTTTGGTGAACCAGAGCAGCACACGGAAACACCATTTACCTTCCCACCGGAGTGGTACCTATTTATCTACTTGCACTTTCACGTGGTTTCAAACTGCTAAGTTGGCACCACCGACCTTCTGATCGGCAAGCCCTAGGCTCAGTGGTTTAGACCACAGCGCCACCCGCCACGCACATGAAAGAGCCTGCAAATACAGTTTTACCTGAGGATGGGTGATCATATATAACAAAAGGGCTTTAATGGTTTCTAATGGCCTGTAAATCTCTCTACTTTTTGGAATGTGACACCATTAGAATAGGGGGAGGGGCAGAGAGACAGCTGGAAGCCTTTGCAGTCTGAAATTGGGCACAGATGGGGCAGAGAAGGGAGAGCTTTTAGCTGGAGTTAACAAAACCCAAACTATCCTTGGGCTGCAGATACTCAATTTTGAAATCCAAGGCAGCATTAGTGGTTGTTTATTTGGTCCCAAAGCACACTGCTTGTATGCTTATAAATAAACAAATATGGCAAATTCCAGAGGGATGCCAACCGTGTAAGTCTGTTGCATGATAGATTAACTGATACATTATTGCATAAACTTTTATGGACTGGAGTCCACTGCATCAGAAGTCTTGAAGCTTGAAGTAACACGAGAAACAGCCCTGAGGTTCTCAGGCATTCACATTCTCTGTCAGGCCCCGGATTCCATATAGTGTTTGAACAGATGGACTACGCTGGATGGAATTTACTCTACTGTATCGTATTGACAGTATTGGATGGAATGTTGTCTGGCCAAAGTAGCATGTCTAATCTAATGTATGGAAAGATGTGTGGATTCATTTAGCACAATGTCTTGAGGATGGCTGGTGCTGAACTGGAAGGTGCAAAGTTGTAAAAAGCTTTTTATACATAGCATTGCCCAAGTAAGAGTTTGATTTGCCCTTTTGAAACTGAACAGTAGCCAGGTGTAGAAAGAAGAAAACATATACAGTAGTGTTCATTGTGAATGTCGCAAAAGCATTTAAATAAATACATAGGAAGCTATGCTATATGGTTCAACTAGTTCAGTGCTGTCTACGCTGCTGCTCTTCAAATGGTAGATTGCGACTCACTACTATTGGGTTGCAGATGGACCTAACATGAGTCAGAATGGCAACACTGCCACCATTTAAGTATGCTTAAAAATTTAAGAAGTAAGTCTTCTAATTATTTTTATTATTTCATTATTTACAGTCCTCTGTCCCCGAACGCCTCTGTTTTGGAATGTTTCGGCACCCAAACTCCAAAAACCCGGAAATAAGTGCTCTGGTTTTTGAACGTTTTTTCAGAAGCCGAATGTCCAATGCAGCTTCCACTTGAGTGCAAGAAGCTCCTGCAGCCAATCAGAAGTTGCGCCTCGGTTGTCGAACATTTTGGAAGCCGAACGGGCTTCCGGAACAGATTAAGTTCGACAACCGAGGTTTGACTGTATATGCTACCCATCTGACTGGGCTGCCTCAGCCACTCTGAGTGGCTTCTAACAATATATATGTATGTGTGTGCGTATGTATGGGTTATAGGTAGGTCCTGGGTGGGGAAAAGTTTGAAGATCACTCATCTTCACTGATGGCAGCAGCTCTCCAGGGTTTCAGACAGGAGTCTTTTTCAGAGGTGTACCTAGGCTCCATTGTGCGTGTCAGGAGAGACAATGGACCAGAAGCTCAGAAAGTCTGCTTTTTGTCACCATTTGTGCTCCACTAGTGACTTCCTCCACGGTCTTTGGGGCCGGATGTGCTCTGCTCCACCTCCCTTCCTCCTCCTACATCAGTCTGTTTGTCTGACCACATGGGCGGGCGGGTTCCTAGCCACTCTGAGCCAGAATGGAGAGGCGTGGTTTTTGCGCCCCCTTGGGCGTGCGCTTTTGGTGGGGGCCAACCTAGCCAACCCCTAGGTACACCCCTGGTCTTTTTGCCTGGAGATGGAAGGAATGAAAGCT